TACATACATACATACATACATACATATATCTTAAGTGTATCAATCAAGAATTTATTTAATTTTATGACGACTGATGATGCATTTGGAAAATTTAAAGTTGGCTATATCTGGCATCATCTTCATACCTAGTTGTTAAAAACAAGAGTAACAACGATTACGACAATGCTAATATTTACCAAATATTTGCTCTTTCTAACAGGCCAATTTTATTTAGCCCTAGACAAAATTCAAAGCCCAATTCGTGTAGTCTTGCCGATTCTTGAAAACCCCTATACCGTTTGTTGGAAACTCTTTCCTATATATCATCTAAAACCAATCAGGAAAATGCTAACCGTAACTACTTTGGATGTCATTTTAAGATTGATTATTTTTATTAGATCGAGAAAATATCCAATGAATTAACCGGTGATTCAAACATTTATCAGACAACAAAACGAAAGTTACATTTTTAGTAACGAATCAATCAACTGTAAAACCAATCACACAGTCACATTGGCTAGAACAGAAGTCACTAGCGATAAGTAGATCTAATCAATTGATTGAAAAGTGATTGTTATAAAATCTACTAAAGTGAAGCATAAGTAACAGTAACAGCTCAATCAATTTTACATGTATTTATATCAAATCAGGCAGATATAGCATCAGCATTAATCTCATTTTGTTGGGACAAAACTTAATCGAACATAATTCTGTATAGATTGATAAAAAAGGAGAGAATTTTTTTACCTAGAGCCATGCATCATAATGTGCGCATTCTGCTGTACTTCTGGGCGGCGAGACTTTAGCTTAAGAATGAACGCTTAAGACTCATAAATCGGTATTTATAAGCAAGATACATTAGGGTCAAGATCTTCGCCTCTTTTAGGTTTATGTTATAGCGGCAGCGCCCATGGTATTTTGCCAAATCAGTTTGAGCAACGCCGACTGTACTTATGTGATATGACTATGATACCCTTATTATTTATTTGTCTAAAATTTTCAATTTTATTTATCATAACCCGAAATACAAAATCCTCATACATACCCACATGAAAATTTCACTGCGAAGTATTTTGTTTCTTTCGTATTGATTGTTATACTTTAATTTGAATGTGAAATAAATTGTTCTCAAGCGTAAAACTGTATACATTATAATTTTTAAAGCAAAATCGATAATTAAAGTACAATGGTAAATGTATGAAACAAAACCTACATATCTAGTTGTGAATTTATCAACTATAGAACCAATTAGACTGTCACAGTAGTATATACAAAATTGATTTGTACGTTTAAATATAACTAATAGATTTTCAGCCAACACTGAAACAAAACCTACATATCTAGCTGTGAATTTATCAACTATGGAACTAATCAGACTGCCACAGTAGTATATACAAAATATGATTCTTACGTTTAAATGTAACTAATAGATTTTCAGCCAACACTAATGGAATCGGACCATAAATGACAACCATATGATACGTTTAAATCTAGATAATTAATTTTCAAGCCAACCTTGATGGAATCAGACCATAGATAACAACTCAAGTTACTTTTAAATACATCTGATCAAAATCGAAAAAACTGCCAAAAGCATGAACTAATTCCTTTGATGAGACTATTTGCAAAAAAAGAAACTAATATATTTTAAAGATAGTATAAAGTATGATCACCAACTCAAAACCGATTCATTATGCCATAAACAACAAATCCAAGTAATTCCAAGTGCATCTCGTATCAACTGAGAAATCATATACGTCAACCATTGGCATCAATACAAGCTATGATACATCAAAACTGAGTGTCGTAAACTTGTGTTTGTATAGACGTTAGCTAAGAAATGAGTGCTGAAAACTGACAATTCAGTATCTGTAGATAACACTTATGCTCATAATGTTTTGCCGAGATTGTTGTAATCATCCTCATTGGCATATATCCTAATTGGATAAGTTGAGTATTTACTATGATCTTGAATGTAACTGTTTCGTTAACATTTTGTTAAGGGGTCGCTTTTACTGTTTTTGACAGGTAGAAGTCTCACATAACTTACAAATTGTTATTTCTAAGTCGATTATCACTTGTTGCATTATCGATATTCCTAATAAGTCCCAAATAACATGCATATGACACTTAATTGTGTTAACAACCCGTATTCAACTGATTTCGAAATCGTAAAGTTTTGGTAAACCACAGTTAATTTATTATTTACTTTAAAAGTTTTATAAATGCTAACTATCAACAAAAATGAGGATGAAACATGTCAACATCAAAATATAGATAACAATTATTGTTAATAATAAATTGACAATAGAAATTGGTCAAATTAATTTTTATAATTTTATTACATAAAAAAAATACCAAATGCTGAAAAATATAATAGAAGATTAATATTTGATTTCACATCGGATTTCACGGTTATCACAAACTACTGAGTTATCTATATGTGTGTGTGTGTGTGTGCGATTTTTACTTTTGTTGAGAAAAGATATATGAAGTGTTTTCGGTTGTGTGTTGATATGCCAACACACATCTTTTTCATTCATATTGGACCCCATTTACGACTATACTTCATATCGAAAAATTTTGCGTAGGCATTTAAATGCACAAGTCCAGATGTGTGTTGTCAAGATGTCTGCCTCACTACCGTTCCACTGCCTCAACCAACCAATGCCTGGGACTCCTTTAGCCCATTAGGGGTGCCGTCTTAGGTGAGGTGCACCTTAAGTCGTACACGTTCCATGCTTTTTAAAACCAAGGGTGTCGTTAGGGGTGTAAACGATACGAGACAACTCGCGAGCTACTCGAGATCAACTCGGTCAAAGCTCGGTCAACACTCGACTCGAATAGGCTCGACTCGAACTCGAGCTCGACTCGACATATTAACGAGTTGAGTCAAGCTACCCAATACTCGACTAGAAAAGCTCGTGAGATACTCGATTATTTTATATATAATTAGTTTTAAAGTATATAATCAGGTTTTATGATAAAATATGTAAAATATAAATAATATAAATGCCTTATATTTTTAGATATTTAAACAATTAAAAAAAGACAAAGAAAAACTATAAAAAAAGTTAGTGAAATTGTCCCACATTGGAAGATAGATGGTAAAGGAAGAAAGAAAAGATGTTATAAAAAGAGAGGAAGATGAATGCAATTTTCTAACTTTGTCTTTTTGATGATGAAGTTTGAAGTTGATCTCTTTATTTTTATAAAAACTAAGAGAACATTTTTAAGTTTTAAAATTTATAAGAGAAATACCCTAAGTTTTATAAATTTCAATGATTGAGTTTGGTTCGAGCTTGATTCGAGTTCGAGTTCGAACTTGATTCGAGTTGTAGTTCGAGCTTGATTCGAGCTTAGTTCGAGCTCGAGTTCGAGTTCGAGCTTGAGAAATAGTTATCGAGTTCGAGTCGAGCTCTGATTTTTACTACTCGTGAGTTTTCGAGTCGAGTTCGAGCTTGGAAATTCGGTTTYGAGTTCGAGTCGAGTATAGTGATACTCGAGCTCGACTCGAATCATTTACACCCCTAGGTGTCGTTGACAATAACATGTGATAGTGACCACCAAGATAACCTTTCACATATGATGTAGCAGTATGTACTCTATTCACCGCTCAGATATCACAAGTGTATTAGACAGTGTACTCAATAATCGTTCATGACAAGAATATGCGATGGGTTAGAAAAAGGGGGTAATTTACACACAACTGTTTACATGTTCAAAAGCTCAGTTGTGTTGAGTGTAAATGTCATTTGTTACTTGTTAGTGGTGCCTAAATGTATTCAATTTTCATCTATTTGTTATCTCACCCTATGAAATCAACCACAATTTTTGGAAACAAAAAACCCCAAATCAACCACATCCGAAGAAGATGTTTTCCTAATCTGCCATTCACCATGAAGTGAGCATTGATCACGTCTTCCTCCTTCGTGAAGTCGTTGAGATCAGTCGTTACCCTCCTCTTCAAAGGACGACCATTCACGACCATTGTTTTGAACCGTCAGATTCCAGTGTTTGAATAAAAATCAGAATGTCACATGATGAAAGCGACAAAAAATCATTCAAAAGAAAATAGAAAGTCGTGGGATGTTTTTATCTCGATTGTTCTTTGTGAACTGGGAAACCACCCGCAAACAAAGGGGTGCAGCGTTTTGAGAGAGCCAACAAAGCCGAGAATCGGGACGAATATTGATTTGGGATGTTTTTATCTCGTCAGAATGCTGGTGATGGTGTTGGGAATTTTTTTGGGATTTGATTCAAAAGGAATGTGGTTGGTGATGTTGGTACGAAATCGTGTATGGTGTTCATGTCGATGGAGATTAAGGATGTGAGCAGGTGATTTTGAAATCTAAAATTACGAGTTTGTCCTCAAACTTGCAAATTAGACATAAGATTGGACACGCCTTTCATTAATATTACAAAAAGATCACCATTTTTAATGATCTTTGATTAAAACCCTTGTATGAGTAAAATTAAGATCAGTACTCACGGTACTCGACGCTTTTACGGTTATCATTATCCTATATATATCTATATAATCATAATAACCTTGAAAACTAGTGCTATTTCATATGATTCCTTTTCATCATTAGCTAGAATTTAAAGCAATGATTAACATATATTTGTTTCACATGTACTCGGTTTACAACGTGAACCTTTTTGGTGTGCTTGTGAAACAAAAAGTACACATACGAAGTTCCATATCATAAAACAAACACATTATAAAACAGATATATGTTAATCAATACATTGTTAACTCATGAGAATTGGAGGAAAAAAATGGTCAGAAAGCAACAAAGGTATGCCTAGTTTAGGTTGGGTAAAGAGTCATGTGTTTAATGTTTCTTGATTTGGGTGTCATTCAAAGCATCATCCGACATTCAAATAGATACTCACCCACACCTCACCTGCCCGACCCTTTTACTGAACCAAATACTCACCTGACCACCACTATTTTCAACAAATACTAACTACACAACTCTTTGTTTCAATATACGTGCAGCTGCACAAGTACCCGGTGAGAGTACGAGAGATGCCGGAATACTGTGTGACCGGCGGCACCGGCTTCATCGCAGCATACCTCATCAAATCTCTCCTCCAACAAGGTCATACCGTTCGTACCACCGTCAGAGATCCAGGTATATACCTACGTACTTATTATTATCATTGTCAACCACAATCTAACTTATAAGCTAGTTTTTAGAACGAGTTTTTCCAAAAAGAAAAATATCCAACTATGCATCTTTTCCCAATTAATTTTTCAAGTCATTTTACATTACCATCTACTTTTTTCCAAGTAGGGGTGCTCAAAAACCCGATCAACCCGAAGTAACCCGACGTCTAATCGAGTTGTAAAATTGTCAAACCATAGGTATTGGGTTGATATCGGGTTATTATTATTTGAACCCAACCTAACCCGATAAACCCGATATCCTTCTATTTCTTGGATTTAGTATGATTGTTGAATTTCTATTAATATATACATTAACAATTACATTATCATGTATGTTCTTCATATACACATATTTTCAATCTATTCTCATCTCTATATAACTCATTCGTATATATGTTCAGTAACTATGAACATATATATGTAAATTGAGAAAATTAATTGAATATGATATATGTAAGAAATAAGAATACGTTGTATCAAATGGTTGATGATGAAAAAGAAATTATGAGTAGAGAAATAACATATTCAAGCTTAGAAAATATTTTAAGGCACCGAAATATCAACCCGACCAACCCGTACGGGTTGGGTTGGGTTGCACTTTGGGTTGGGTTGGGTTGGGTTGGGTTGGGTCGGGTTAAGATTTTTCAAACCGCAAGCATTGTGTTGGATCATTTAAATGTCTTCAACCCGATCAAGTCAACCCATGAGTACCACTATTTCCAAGTATAATGTTTATATACTCAAAACTCACACAATCCTCAGCTTTAACGAGGCTAGAACCATTGATCTCCATGAGGGTCGGGTTACTAGGTACGCCAATAACACTTTCGGTAAATTGTCCTCTTAACATATCAAGCTAGTTTTTTTATTAAACTAACTAATTTTTTAGCCAACAGCGAGCTTATCAGCTAGTTCATCAAATATAGCTTTTAATCTTTCATGAAAGAACAATTTGACAAAGATAAAGTCAATCATTTCAACTGCTATTAATGATTTTATATGAAAGAAGTTGATTAAAGCTATTCAAAAATGATATATAGTTATGAGCATAAAGATGGGATCCAAAAATATGAGTAAAAGCAATGGAGAAGTCCTGACCAATTTTTCCATTTTAAATGATTAAGGGGCTGTTTACTTGCGACTTAATTAGGCTTTTTGGTCTATCTGGCTTATTCGCACAACTCATTTGAGTTGTTTACTTACGGCTTATTCGCACAAAACATGGCTTATTCGCACATATAGAAATGGTATGTTGCCCCCATTCAGCCACAAAAATGACACCTCTACCCCTTATTTAAAACACCGCCTCCTTCCCATATGAGACACCCTATCTTCGGACTCTTTATGATTTTTTGTTTTGATGTTCAAATAATTAATATTAGAGGTAAATCGGTCATTTATGTTATTCAGACTGTTGGTTCAGATAAAAATAAATAAACAATACCACCCATTTATCCAGAGATACAAATTTATCCGGACAGACAAATTTATCCATACAGGACTTGATAAAAAAATTGGTAAACAGCCTCTAAGTCTATAAACTACTTTTTTGAAAGAAAAAAACAGTAAAACTTCTTCAATTTGAATGATTAAGTCGGCGAACTTTTTTTAATAAATCGAACTTCTAAAAATTGATTAGCAATATTATTTTAACCCAAAAAAGCTACTTGAAACCTGCTACGGAAGTTTTAAAGTAAAAAAGATCAGTTTTACCACTCCTAAACCCTGAATAATTCAAACCCCTCAACGACTTAATTTTTACAAAATTCGAGCTACCTGAAACCTACCAATTTTTAGAAATTCGATTGTTATTTATTTAGAAACAAAAGTATCGTGACTTAATCGTTCAAAATGAAAAAGTTTAATGGTTTTTTCATTTAAAAAATTAGTTTAAGAATTTGATCATTCAAAAATGAAAAGTTAGTTGGGTTTTTTTTGGACTTTTCCTTAAAATACAATGCAAAAGTATTGACATTTTGATCTAGTTCGCTTTCAAAATGGCAAAGACGAGTGTGCGTGCACAGAATGTAAACTTTTTCGTAAAACTTTTGCTAGAAAATGTCGAAAAAGTCGGCTACCTCTGGGAGCTTAAAGGAGCTCATGATCAGCTAAAGCTTATGAAGGCCGATCTCATGGTCGAAGGAAGTTTTGATCAGGCTGTGGATGGTGTTGATGGGGTTTTCCACACTGCATCTCCGGTGCTTGTCCCATACGACGACAATATCCAGGCAAGTTTACCTTCAAAATAGCATCAATATCAAAAGCCCATGTTTCTTATAAAAAGTTTTGTACTTTACTCCATCCTGATCTGATACAAGATAGGTCACGGTTTGCCTTTGATGTGTAGCTCAGTTGGCAAAGGAGTGAGTTGACTTTGACCAAATACAAGACAGGTCCTGGGTTCAATCCCAGGCCCCCCACTAGCCTCAGCCGCTGAGCGAGTCAAAAGATCTCCTCATATTGGTGTCTTTGGAGGCTAATTCCATGCGGGGCTGGTTGGGGTTGCCGGTAATCAACTTTTTGCCCAAATAAAGCCATGTTCAGCCACCATAAGCTAGTTTATAAGTCTGCTCAATAAGCTCCAGGGGATTTTTCGAATTATGCCCCTTATTGTTTTCCAATTGAAGTTTCAACATCTCGATCATTTTACATCAGTATCTAGCTTATCAGCTAGTTTTTACCGAACCTAACTAATCAGTTAGCTAACTTTCAATTAACAACGAGCTTATTATCTGACAACTAACTTCTCAGTTAACAGCTAGTTTATCAATTAACAACTAAATTTCAGTTAAAAATTAGATTCTCAGCCACCAGCTAGCTTATCAGCTAGTTTGCAAACAATAGACCATGTACACTCAGCCACCAGCTAGCTTAACTTATATACCCTTTCGACCACAAGAGTCAAATTGCACTTCTTTTTTCTAAAGCAGGATTCACAACATATTGCAAGCATAACAATACTACTGTTTGCAGGAAACACTAATTGATCCATGCATAAAGGGCACCATGAATGTGCTGAGCTCATGCAAGAAAGCAAAAAGTGTGAAAAGGGTAGTTCTCACCTCATCATGCTCTTCAATAAGATACCGTTATGACGTTCAACAAGTTTCTCCTCTTAATGAATCACATTGGAGCGAAACCGAATACTGCAAAAAGTACAATGTACAGAAACACTTGTAATTGTAAATTTCAGCATAAAATTAGTCTTTATATTCATCATTTGAACTCTTTTAAGTTCTTGATCTCATCCAGCTTTGGTATGCATACGCAAAGACAATAGCAGAGAAAGATGCATGGAGTGTAGCAAAGGAAAGCGGGATTGATTTAGTTGTTGTGAACCCTTCTTTCGTGGTGGGCCCATTGCTCGCACCGCAACCAACAAGTACACTTCAAATGATACTTGCCTACGTTACAGGTACTAAAAGACAATATTTGGTTGGTAGATTGAGTGATAGACATTAAACTTACTATAATTACCTAAAATTCCCAAAGAAAATGTACCAGCCACCTTTTGTCCATAATTGCTCAATCTTGCAAATTGTAATGTTCTCTGCAATCTTTTCAAACAATGCTTATTTGCATAAGAAAAAATGGATCAAAAAGTCAACTCTTTGTAAATTAGATATTGACTTTCACAAGCACTACCATATCAGGGGCGGTAGGAGAATACTCGAATACAACAGTAGGATTTGTACACATAGATGACGTGGTGGCTGCTCATATTTTAGCAATGGAAGAAAAAAAGGCCGCGGGCAGACTCATATGTTCGAGCACAGTGGCTCACTGGTCTGAGATCATAAAGATGCTTAAATCAAAATACCCATCTTATCCCTATGTAGACAAGTAAGCAGACTTGTACCTCCAATTTTTCAAGAAATTATTAGATGTTGAATGCTACTTACCAAATATATGTGAATACCATTAGATGTAGCAGCCGAAAAGGTGATGACAGCCCACATAGTATGGACAACAGCAAGATATTACAACTGGGGCTGCCTCCATTGAAAACGCTCGAGCAAATGTTTGATGACTGCATCATAAGTTTCCAGAAGAAGGGATTTCTGCGAGTTTCATCATAATCAAATAAAGTAATAATTTCCTAGAGCATTGTATTGTTCTTGGTTTATTTAGAGTCGCAGAATCTTGCTATTCTATATAAAGACGCTTATATTCAAGAACATTAAAGGCTGATATTACTAGAACTGCCTAAAGTTAAATCATGAAAAGGGTTTCCTGAAAGATTGTTTTGGCTCCTAAAATTATTGAAATTGTTTTGGCTCCTAAAATTATTGAAACAACTCTTTCTTTCTAATAGATCATTCTCTAACTTAACTGATCTTCTTGGATAAAAATAAAAGGACGGATAAGAAGGTAAGGTACGACCAGCTACTAACAACTTCCAGTTATATCAGAATAAATGAAAGAAGATCAGTCAAGTGATAGAAGAATCTATTAGAAAGGAAGGGTTGTTCCAGTTTCTGCATAACAATAATAAGGACTGTGATATGAAGAAAAGGTACAAGTGTACAACCCACTACTAACAACTTCCTGTTGACCACCACCACCTCCTGATTGACCAGAAAAATCATGAAACTTTCTTGAAAGAGCTTAAGGTTCAACTTCAAATGTTTGAGCAGAAACAGGGGTGGAGTGAAGAGAAGCATATCCAATCAGATTAACATGAACACTTGGTAATGCATGAAACCTTGACAACTGGGTATATATTGTAAACAATCATCATTCATAATGAATAGTTACAACTTACAAGTTACAACAAGTATCAGATATGGAAAGCACACCTGAAACCAAAGAATGCAGTGATCAATCTTAACATTTGAGTAAACCATCTATAAAGTGAGATATTGAGATTGAGCATACATGTTCAGAAGTAAAAGCTTGTATTTGATACCATCATCAAAAGAAACTACACTATAGAGTAAAGCAAGACTAAAAGAAATCTCACTTTGAGCATAGTGATAACAATGATTGCTGGTAGATGCTTCTAGTTCAGACCAGAAAAATATTAATCCATCAGTGCCGCCAAATGCTAACCTTGGAGAAGCGCAGCCATGGTGTTCGACCAGTATAGTATTGCTTTGGTGTATAATCCAAATCAAGCTCCAATATCCAACAGAGGGACACCCAATCCTTGTGAGAAATATAACACATTTCCAATTCCTAGGTGACTCATGTGTTTTTTTTTTTGCTTATGTTAATAATCAAGATTAGCAATTAAAACATGACACTAAACATCAATTCTAGACTAATGGTCAAATGAAATTGAAACATTTGTCATCTTTCAATGTATCAAGAAAACTAATGGGACAAACAGTAAACAGAACAAGTCAGAATAGAATTTCATATTCATGAAGTAAAAAAAATCACAAATTGAAATGCCAAAATGAATCACTCAACAATGTAAAACCAAATAAACACAATAGTGATCAATTGGACGACATGGAAATTATAACCAGCAGAAAAAAACAAGGCAATGTCATTAAGAAAGCAAGAAAGACTCAACAAACAGTGTTGATAATACCAGTGACTGTTGCAGAAGTAAAACATGTACAATAGCTCAGTCAGCAAATAGGTAACTCATTTGTTCATAATTGAGTCCAATAAACAGCCCCTTTGCCATTTGTTCATCAGCAGATCCTCATTTCATCATCAAGTCTACTAAATTGACCCAGCAGATTGCCATTGTTGTCTATGACAAGCATACCAATGTCCAAACCCAACCAAGGTGGCTTGTTTCCTTCTTCTGTATTTACATTTTGACCTTCCACCATGGTTGCGCTTGCTCCTTTCTCCTCTCCTGAAACTTCCATGGAAGTGGTGGTAGACCCACTGATTGTTTCACCACCACCATTACTCAACAAGCTCAAAGTCTCGATCTTTGGGGACTTAATCGATGACCCACTTTCAAGTCGGGTAACGTATTCCGACCCGAATTCGACCTTCTTGTACTGGAGAGCACTTGAACCCTCTTCTTCAGGATCACATGTACCATCCATTTTCGCCCTATGAACCCCCTTGTACGATTCCCGGGTCGGTTCTTGACCCGGGTCCTGAGAAAGCCGAGTGGACGACTCGCCGTCAGACTTGGGTCGGGTTTGGGTCGATAATCTTGCTTGAAACTCCTGCTTCTTAGCCATATAGGCTTTTGAGGCTTCCTCTGCGGTGTTAAATGTACCCAACCATATTCGTTTTCTGGTAAAAGGATCACGAATCTCAGCTGCCCACTTGCCCCACTTCCTCAATCGAACCCCGGTTAACTTCTTCCGCACGGTTTGATCCATCGAATCCTTGTGTTCTACCGTTTCATCGCCTTCTTCAGGTTTGACCCCAATCACAATCTCGAAAACAATTCGACGTGGTGATGATCTCTCTCCGCTATCAGCTTCATCCGATGATGAATCAGTAGCTTCAGGGTCGGAGCAGATGACTCGAATTTTCCTGAGGTTTTGGCCGGTAACTTCCAGCTGTTCTTCTTTGTTGTTGCTGGAATATCTGAGCCTCTTGCTTACACGATGGTCCGCCATGGTTGTTAGGTTTTCTTGAGATCCGGCTTTGTCACACGCACAGAATACAGATGGATGGCGGTGAAAGAGGAGGGGAGATATACGCAAGGGTTTGCATAGTTTAAACTCTTTCCACCAATAGAATATTCTCCATTTCTGTGCGCTGTCTGAACTGAAGCTTCTTCATCGTGGGCCTTACGATTGGGCCTCCCACTAGTGGGCCGATATAGTTTTCCTTTTGAACCAAACCGACCCAATATTTTATTAAAACATTCGTTCATGTGGTTTGTCAAAAATTATCATCGTTTCCTTTGTGTTTCCAAAATAACGTTGATCGTCTTTGTGGTTTGAATACGCTGTCATTTTCTTCTTCTTCAATAATTTTATAGGAAAAATTCCGTTATGCTAGAAACATTTTGACCATTTTACTTGTTTACTCAAAACTCGTTCATATTTCTGTTAAAAAATAAAACTTGCCCAATCCCGAAACCCTGCAACTTCAATGGCACGTCCCGTCTTTTCTCCATCACCGACCACCACCCCTAAAATCTTCTCTTTTTTCGTGTTCCCTTTTGGTTTCACAACACTTTTATTAACGGATTTCATCTTTTAAAACAAAATTATTATATTCATGTTCACTGGACATCATCAACACACTAACCAAAAGATACCAAATTCACCACTTTTGAAAGCAATTTCTTGGATTGAAATGAAGAAATTGGGTGTAATAATCAAAACTTGTTTTAGATTAAAGATGTGTTGACATGCAGACTTGCATCAAAAGTAGGGTTTTTGAAGGGTAACGTCCTAGCCAATAGTGTGTTATCATGGCACAATAAAAACCCTAAAATGGAATGGGTTAGATGATTGTCAAATTTTGATGGGTTGTAAAAATAATGTGGTTTACAAAGTAAATCTCATATATATATATATATATATATAGGGACTCATTCAAGGGAGAACTGATTAGTTTGTGGTAACTGTGAGAACCAATGTGAGCCACAAATCAACGGATAAATAAAGAAATTAGTAATTATGGTATTTTAAGTTAAAATTATAATTAGAGGGCATTTTAGGTATTTTTAAAAAACTCATTTCTCCTCTCTCCGACCTCCAATCTCCAGCCTCCGTCCTTCGTCCAACATTATTCCGGTAGGTACCAATTAATCACAAAGATACACAATGTGATACCCATTGTGATATATTGTGATACCATTGTGATACCAACTCTAACCATAAAAACATGTGATACACCTTGATAAAACAAGGAAAAATAATGAAATTGAATATTGTGATACGCTATGATACACTATGTTACACTGTGATCATACTTTCAACAAAATCCACAGTAATGGTGCCTAATGCAATGGAGCATCCTTCCTCAATTCAGAAAGATCTTAGGATGAACTGCTACTATTTCTCCAAAATCAACGAACCTTTAAACAAAGAAGGAACCATTAGTCAGGAAGACATAAGTGATCCTGAACCGATTCAGCCAAACATTCATGAATCCTTGACAATAGGAGACATACCCTTGATAGGGGGAGACATAACACACCTGTTTGTTCCTAAAATATTATCTCTCCTCCGGTACCGAATATTGAAGCTAGTGACTTGGATCGGCGTAATCATCTTCGATGCCGGAGATTGCTTTCATGAAGTAGTTGCAGTCGGCTCAAGCACCTGTTTCTGTCCAGTGGGAATCTGCTGGGTCTGCCAGAATCAATATAGCGCCTCGTGAACTATCTGCCCCTGTGATGAATGGTCCTCTATCTTCTAGTGTTGATGGAATCGGATCCAAGATGACAAGTTATGAAAGCAATACCTTGTTCAATCTCCAGCGGGAGTGAGAGGGCGGCATTACTAATCGTCGGCCGGCTTGATGAAGAAGAAGAAGCAGCAATAGAAAAAGAGGGTTAGTCGATGAAAGAAGGAAGAACAAGAGGGTTAGGGTTTTATGATTATAAACATTACCAATTTACCCTTTATGTTATTTTAGGATATAACGTTAATTATTTAAATGATTGGCTCACATTAGTTCTCACAGTTACCACAAACTAATCAGTTCTCATTTGATTAGGCCCCTATATATATATATATATATATATATATATATTTGGGATCATGTGAGATCAAAGGTTTTTTATTGAGACCCGTAAGACCAATTCTCAACCCTTGGATTAGATCTACAATCTGAACATTCATAATCACAAAATTGTCATGAGTCTTCTCAATAATCACAAAATTGTCACAGTGCAACTTTAGATCATTAACTTATAAAGTTGATCAATGAACATAAATTGGT